CTATAACATAGCAGATTCCAAGAGGATTTAATGTTAAAATATAAATCCATAGTCTGTCTGTGACTAGCTGGGGGTCTATGCAGTGTGGCATCGGTCGGGTGGGTAATTTATTGTGGGAGCTAAGTGTTTCCATTTGCAGTAAGAGCCACTAAAAACAGACCTGCTGAAGGTTTCTGGGGGGCCTGCTTGTAAAAGTAGTGATGCGGTGTGAGCTGGCTCATAGCCTGACAACCTGTTTGGGGAGCCATATAGATGGGGTTTTAATGAATACATAATCCAGTCATCACAAAAAGGACTCCTCACACTTGCCAAAATTGCAGCTTTGGACTGATATGTTCCCATTCACTTTATGCAAAGGTGGCATGCATTTTTAGAAGAGGTTTCCCAAAGAAAATAAACAAGATCTGCAAAGAAATTTCTGTTGTTGGTTACCGTTACTGGGCTTCTTTGTTCATTCTCATATGCAAAGATTAAAGTGTAGGGCAACCACATAATTTTAAAGTAAGACCAAATATATGACCTGGCTCCAGTGAACAGGAGGACATTAATATATTTAATGTTTTGGTTGTTAGCCCTCTCAATATACATTGAGACATTTGTCAGTATTGATATGCGTACTTCATACACAGTACATGACACTTTATCCCACCTGACCCCTGAACACTGTCTTTACCCAAAGTGCTCAGGTTATAATGCAATGAATTTTTATAGTTAATGAATTGAAACTCACCATCAGCAACTTACTGCTGCCCTCTACTGAATCTAATGAGCACACATTATCAATTATTTGTTAAAACACATTTTATGGAATATTTTACCACCTCATGGTGAACAGGATGATAAAGTTAAACCCTTTGTTTTGCCAGGTAGGGGTGAACAGCCATTCCTACATGATCACACCAGACTTATTAGTCTATATTAGACTATTAATATATAGGAATAAGTTGTTACAAACGCCCTTTAAAATATGTTAGCTTCATTAAACTCAGTTTTTCTGCCTTTTAACTATTCCTTCCTTACTATTCAGTTAGTTAGCAAGTAATACAGTATTCATACTCTAGAAAGGCAAGCACTTCAGCAGAGTTCAGGTGGGTTGTAATGTGGGATTTCACCTGGAGTTGATTTGAGACCGATACTACTGTATAAAACCAGAGCCAAGTTTGGTTTGGCTGCCTAGCTGTTAACTCTGTCGCACAGGAATGAGAAAAGTTTGTGAAACAAAAGCCAGAAAACCAAAGTGCGCCTCAAAGACCAAGGAAAACATAACAATAAGTGCAATAGCACATGATATCATCATGCAGCTCAGCATCTGGGAAAGTACCATATTAACATCCATGCAGAGCACATTTATGGTCTGACAAAACCAAAGAAAGCTCTGAATCTAAACAATGTATGCACAAAGAATTTATATTCACAATGAAATAAAGTAAAATGCTACAAATTTACAGGGAAACATCTGCAGAGTAATGTGTATTTTTCACTACAGCAGAGAAGAAAATGTTACCCCGTTGATAGCCAGAGACAAGAAGATGATGTCGAGTGTCATATCACTTTCTGTTGGAGACTACATATACACCCCCTGGTTGGACTCAAGCACCTTCCTTCCAGGAACGTTTTCTCCCAGTTCTAACATTAACCAACAGGCCTTATTTCCTGAAACCAGAAACTCCCTCAGCAAAAGGAAACCCAGCAACACCTGCACTAGTAAGAGGCCGGCCAGGACGTGAGTCAAAAATCAGGCCATTAGACTCAGACAGTTGGAGTGGAAGTGAAATTTCTTTAATATTTTGCTAAAATACTTTGATGCTCCTCATCAACAATTACTCAAAGTTTCATAACTGCAATTAATGACAAATGCCATGTACACTGCTTGAAAGACAATTGCTGAATTAACAACACATTGACAAATAACAGATGTAAAACTGAGCAAAATGCTTTCATTTTACAAATATGTTTCAAATAGACACTGAAAAACAGCCTCTTTGTATTGCAATCACATGGTTCCGTATTTTGGAGCACAGTGCAACCCACATGTGCCCTCGTAGCCCACAATCTTGGGCTGCTTTTTCCCAGCAAGAGTTGATTGATTGGCCATCAATGGAGACACGCTCCTCGAATGAGAGTGCTCACCGCAGAACTATCGAGTAAACAGACTTGGAAGTCAAGGCCAGCAAAATCCCTTGTGTCTCCATACCATCCGTTAGGAAGGCAAAGCCGGATCTCATGTATCTGTGGTCAGACAAGACCGCCACCACTTCCTCGTATTGCAAGGCTGCTTCGAAACCACGCCAGAGTGCGCTCTATTTCCCTAACCTTTTTTTAAGGGTTGGAATTCACATAACCATGTGGTGTGCTTCTGGAGTTTGGGACGTCCAAATTCTCACTGTTTATCACTCAAATCGACAAAAATAAACAGTCCACAGTGAAAACATTTTCAACCGTGCCTGAAGAACTCTTCATAATGTCATAATTAGACATTCCTTTTGTGTTATCATGTGCTTGTGCTTTCACTCACATCTTTCATGGTGGGCTGTGTTTAATACAAGTGATAAGTTCATGCTAACTGGGACCAGACTGTTGAGTGAGGCTGTCAGTCTTCTTTCAAACCCCCTTTATGTAAAGCATCTTCCTGATTCATAATTCAGTGCTCAACCACTTGCCAAATCCAATCTGGTCCACTGTTGACATGGAGGAGTCCCCCTTTTGGTGAAAGCAGCCAACAGGGGTGGTCAGCTGATGCCAACAGTCGTGGTGCCAAAAGGATGTTTTAACAGCGGAGTGTACAAAGTGAGCCACTTCCACACAACAGCATGCACAGCGGCTGAAACACTAATTAACATTCGTTTCTAATTTACACATGTTTTGATATTCTCTGTTGCGGTTTGTCACACAGGAGTCGACTGTGAGAGGCGTCGCCTGTTGACTTTTTGTTAAGGAATACAGCCTGGTTAGAATTCAGGAGGCTCATTTCACTCTGGATTCTTCCACACAACTAAACCTGATTTGCTTTCCAGTTAATAAATTATGCTGTTTCTTTGGCTTTAATGGTCATTTTATGCCAGGATACTATACTCAAGTGTTCTGCTGATTCCAGTCAATTGGCTGTTCAAAAACCTTGCAACAACAACTTGCCTTTAAAAATATTTCCAAGGCACTCATCTCAAACTGGTGTTAAAAGGTGATAAAACCCATATTATAGTGTTCTCAAGCACAAGAAATTCTCAACTAATGAGATCCATATACTCCATGTACGTTGTGGATTATGTATGTATGTATGACAATTTAGCTTCCAAAACACATGTGGGCAACAGTTTAGAAACAGAGGGTGAAAACGGGTCATATTTTACAATGTCTTGTGGAACAAAGGTGACAAGGGGTTAAAAGGATGCTGGCAACGATTTACTCAGACTCAGGCCCATGATACCTCTAAGCCCTAAAGGCTCTGTAAGTGGTCGTCACTGCCGCTAAATGTCGCACTAGACCACCTGTATCTCAGAACCAAACAAACACGTCATCGGCTGCAACCACCCGCTCCCTTCACTATGTCAGTCATCAAGGTGTACAGAAAGCCCAGTGAAAGCAGCCGCTAAACACACATCAAGAAGCTAACTGAATAAAGCTTCCCTGTGTAAACGAGAGCCAACAAAAACAACACAATCTCGCCACAACAATTAGCCCAAGCTAGCATTGCGTGATATGCTCCACAGCAATGCTGACAGAAAACCAACCAGCCAGCTAGCCATAGCAACATTTGCTGAGCACATTCATAGTAACTGTAACAGCAAGTTAGCTAACGTTAGCATGCCTTCTGTAGCCGGTCACTAATGAAAACAGACATGTAACATTATGTAGCCATCAAAGTACTTACCCATTGAGGAGAAGAAAAGAAAAGCCAGTTCCGAGTCAAGCCGGAGTCCTTTAGCAGCTCCGTAGGGCTCTCCATCCCGGTTAAGCCAGAGCAGTTTTGGCTCCATGCTTGGACTGGGAAAGACATTCATCCTTAGACTTATCCACAGGGACCGCGGTCGCAGTAACAACACTCACCGAGCCATTAAATTAGCAGGTAAAGACACTTATGGAGCCAGTAAACACTCTAAAAACTTTGAGGATGTTTTGACGGCTGGGATTTTACCCAGACATCCCCAAGGCAAGTCACCTGTGCTGTGGGTCGTAACTCTTTGTTTGTCTGACACCTTTTTAGATGAAAACATGGTTTCTTCAGTGAAGGAAACTCTGGGAGGTCACTTCCACCTGAGGATTGGTTACTGCACAGTGCCATCTTGCCTGTGGGCGGTGCCTGTCTTTTTACAGTGATCCAGCAGGACAGTCTCACATGCACTAACATGCACGCGCTGCCAGATCAGATGCCAAAACAAAGAACAGAGAAACTCAGATTACACACAAAAACGGGGGGTGTGACTTCTTCACTCAGCCCTCCATTATTCCACTATATCTTTACAAATAAAATAGTTGTTTACTGCTATATTATTGTTTAAAATCTTATTTAGAGAACTTTTACTGGGATAAAAAAAACATCCTTTACAATACAGTTTATGTGAATAGCCTAGAGAAAAATGGTTATACACTGAAAATGTTTCAGAAATGCTTCTGCAAAAATTTCTCATTGTTTGTGATTAATTTTGAGCCACCATTTATCTGGAGTTCAATATTTGCTCTCCTTTTAGCTCTGTTTTGCTCTCCACCAACTCCTGAGGGAAATATCTCTTTTTAGCAGCTGTACACAAGCTTCATTGCAGCTTTTTGTTAAAAGTAGCTGCAGCTGGAAATGCTGATGAGAGCGCTGAGAGTCAACCAACACAATGAGCTCAAAGACACTAAAACTCACCTTAGCAATAATTGTGTTCATCACTACAACAAACACCTTTCAAATACACATCAGTAATTTGATCCGTTGTTAATATAAAAAAAAGGAACAGCTTTAAACCAACAAATATATATGAATAAAGAAAATACTGATCTTAACTATGACAATTTGAGACTTCAATTTATTGCAAATTATATGCTATTACAGACTTTTAATTGTGATGACTTCCTCACTGATAAAAAATAATTAATTCCCAGTACTTGCAGTGCCTTTTGTGCTGCTCATTAAGAAAGATGTAGGTCTATTTTTCCTTAATAGTTAGAGCGAAACCGTTTAGTTGTATCCAGTGTCAAGATAAATTTGGCATCATCAGCAAAAAGAAGCATCTATATAGAACTACTACCAGATTTTTAAACATACAGATATTTCAAGTTAAACTAACTGCTAATTACATGATCACAGTGATAACAGACCACAATGAAATTACAGAATTACAATATGTCAGTTTTTTATAGATAATACAGACTTAGACTATTCAATCTTAAGCAAGTCATATACAGTAGATGTGGACCTTAACGTGGAGTATAATATTGTGTATAATATTTAAAAACAGAGAGAGGAAGTGTATTCTGTTCTGTTTTCTAGAGTCCCAGAAGTTGGTTGCACATTTACAATCTTCTGCTAGTTATTGATAATGATGAGACATTTCCACTTGATGCAGTACAAAGCAGCAAAATTGAGACATGCAACATTAAGCAACAGGGAAACCATGTACAGAGAGGATAAGTAGAACCTAGGACCTGAGAAGGACAATTTATCAGGACTGATGTGGTCTTGAAAAGGAAGGATGGCACAGGTACATCATTAGAAACACAGACATTACTTTGATGATATATGCTAATCTTATCTGTTAGTTTATTATTTGCCAATCATTTTCATGAAATTTAAATCATATATATCCTTTTCTCTTACATCTGTCTTGTAAATAACACATACGGAAACAACATGCAATTTGTTTTGAATTTGTTGGTGCAGTGAGAAAAAAAAAAGTTATTCCCTTTTTCGCTTTTTAGTGTACATTTCGCCCTTCACTGTAGTCACTGTCATTGCCGTCTCCCACTGTGCCAGGGGAAGGTGTAAACTGTTGTGTGTTCCCTTTGGTACACATAGACGTGTCTGCTTATTTTTTTCACCTGCCAGCTTTACTGGGAGGATATGACATGCACCGAGGATTCATGCTATTCCCCCAGATCCCACGCGATCCAACCAAGAGACTCCATCCTTCATAAAGATGGTTGATTTATCTCAGGCACACATTTGAATTATTCGAAATAAAACAATGTCATGTAGAAAGAAGACAGAATATGTATGAGCCCAAAAAGCCCATTAATTACATAATTTCTCTCGAACAAGGAACCATATCTCTTATTTAAAGTCATAATAACTGATGTGCAAATTTCAAGGATTTTGGTGATTATCTTCAGTGTTAAGGGAACATTGCTTCACTTCCATGAGACCACTCACACTTGACCCCATGTAATTGTACCATCAAATGCAACAAAAATTATGTACTATTTTAGAGTATATGCAAGTCCCTACTGCTGTTTTGCAGTATTGTCTAACCGTACAGATCCCATGAGGACAATGAGGAAGCTTACAGTGCTTTTGTCAGGAGGGACATGGTGACCACATGCATCAGCTGGACTGTCAGAGCTACAGCAGTCTTTTCATACGGCAGGTGTGCTTCTCTATGTGCATGGTGGCCCGGTCCGTGGAGCTGGTCAGGACGTCCAGAACTTCATCCTGTCGTTCCAGCTCTGTCTCTGCCTCCAGGGCAAGGTTCTTCAGCTGCATCAGCATCTGCGCAGAAATACACACAACCAAATAAGTACACGCTTGTGGACACACACACACACACACACACACACACACACACACACACACACGCGCACACACACGCGCACTCTCGTTTGTTTATGTAATTACACACCAGCCCCCAGTGAACACGAACAACTAAGGAGCAAGACACAAATAAAAGAAGACTTAATATTAAAACCTACACAGAGTTGGTGAGCAGTTGCAGAGTGGAACACGTGGACCATATGTGGGGAGGTGTAAAGATGGGGTCAGTGAGTTAGAAAGTGAGTGCGTTAGTGACACATAGAAGTAGATGAGAGCGAGATTTTCATTTAATGTTGAGTTTTTTCTCTTCACTTTGGTTATGAAAACAATCGCCTGCAACGTTATGTCTGCAAATCAGAAGACAATGCTACAATTCAACATTAACCATGATGCAGTAACAGCTACTCATGCGGCAGATATAATAATATTTCACATGATGTAGTATATGAAACTTGAGAATATATTCAGAGGCGAGTATTAGCTTGTCTCCTGGGATCACTGATATCATACAATACCGTTTGTTTTCTGCTTTCAGTGGGTTTAAGGAATACTGCGACTACATCTCAATGGTCCAACAACTGTGTATGTTATGGTTGATGGAACAACTTAAATATGCTGCTATGTGCCAAGCAAAACCTAATAAACACTCACTCCAAACCCCACCACCATGGTTTCTAAACTAATATTATGTTATGCTACATATGCTCTCACACACACACACACACACACACACACACACACACACACACACACACACACACACACACACACACACACACACACACACTTGCACACCCACTGACATTATGTCAGTTTTCACTGGCCGTTATATGCGGACATTGCAACTGAGCACAGAAACGGGTCCAGACAGCAGTTTAAAAAACAGATAGTATGTCAATACACACCGAGGAACAACTGTATTCACTCACTCAGGTCTGTGACTTTACAATTTCAACTGGGAGAACATAACTGAATCACACCTTGCAGTTAACATTCACAAGAGTTTTGGTGTGTCATAGAAAAACACAGAAAATGAATATTTTTAGCTGCTGCTTATACAATGGCTAGAGGACTTAAGTCATGCAGAAATCCCCAAAATTAAACATTTAGGCTACAACTATTAGAAAAATATATGAGCTAAAATTCCTAGTGTCATGGGCATTAGTGGGGTAATTTCAGGACTGTGTTCGTAGACATACAGTACACGATATCCAAAAAATGCTTTATCATCCTTATGAGTGAACCAGTTTGTACTGTTAACAAGTTGGAATTTCCAACCTCAAACGATAATAATTGTATAAAAATGCTTGGACAAAAGGGGAATATTTGCTAAAGCACTCAGGGCAGGATATTAAACTGAGTCAACATCTGTGGAAGTTGCCCCACTGTAGATTCTAATCTTGACATGAATTACATTAAGAGTGGGGTGTGTACAGAAGCGTAGTATTAACTCAAAATTGGCAGCCTTTGAAGTCTGAACCATTATCAGCATTATCAACAATACCAGTTATAAACACAATAGACAAGCCGAGCTGTATGAGCGGCCCAGTGCTGTTACTGCTATGATAAATTTGTTTGTAAAATGATTATACAGACAAAAACAACAGTAAACTAGTGTGCACTGTTATTATGTACAATAATTAACCAAATATTAGGTATAAAGTCCTAACAGTGCCTCGTTTGAGATATGTTTCATGCAGTGTGTGGACAAAATAATGCATCATGAGGCAGGACTTTTAGTAACTAAACCACGATTGACAACACTGAAACAAAGGTGGGTCCAATGCCCAGTATTTCTCAGGCCCATTATACTATATGCTTCAACTGCTATTCCTATTTGTTGTGGAATTTGTGTTTTTTCTGTGTAGCAAACATAGTTGTTATTTTTTATGGCTCTTCTCCTTTACATATTAAATGATTTTGCAGTTTTTTTTATCTATGGGCCTGTAATGTGGGAACCAATGTCTCAAGTTGCTTTCATATCTCACATATCAAATCAAAGCTGATTGCCTTACTGATAAACTGGCTGGGTCGATATATCGGCCAATATAAGTATGAGGTTACTTAGAAACAGTGTCAGTGTTACATATCCTAATGTAGGTAATGAACTGTAGTCATTCATTCATCTAAATACAATCTGATGTGTATCCAAATAAAATATACAAAAAGCTAAATTAGCCTGCTGAAGATTTTATATTAAATATCTTATTCTAAGGAACCCGTAATAGTGTTACACAAAAAAACTGTCTGAATCATAGGTCTGAATTTGCGTCACTGTGTAAGTCTTGCTACCACAGACCATATCTGTAACAGTTCTCAGTGTTGTGAGGTTCTGAATGGAAAGACGTTGTACAGTCTGACCAAATGACTGACCATGTTTCTTTTCCTCTCTTAAAACCAGGATGGACTTTGGTTTGTGGTCTCACCAAATAACATTTTAAACACACAGGATAAAAAATAAAAATCATTATGATGAATTGTGGCTTGGAATGGAACTATCAAAATACATGTTACTATAACAGCTGCCAAGGCAATCTGTTGCCTGTACACACAGACATGACATTTGTATTACCTACCTTGCATATATAAATATGAAAAATCTAAATGCAATAGTGCCTCATACAGTCATACAAGTCATACAGTCACACAGGCAATGGGAGTCCAACTGGACCTCACCTGTTTAAGTTCTTGGGCCTCAGCCTGACTGACAGATGGTTGGAGGACATGCACCTGCAACTGGGACAGCTCTCCTGCTGGGACCTCCAGTGGGAGCTCTGTCTCTTGGCACGTCTGCAACAAACCTGACTCCATGGGTGGAGATGGTGAAAAAGTGCAGAGTGCATATGTTGTTTATGAGGAAACCAGACAGTAAACTCCACAGCACAGCAACTGAAGCAATCAGGGTGAAGTGACTCATCAAAATACATTTCTGTCAAGACGAGACACCAATAACCATGTCCAACTGTCATGTGGATGAAGTGTTTTTACACGTGGCTGCACAGTTAAAAATATACAGAGGTGGAAACATAGAGCTTTGCTGCCACTCAGTGGTCAAATTTATTCTAGGCATGGAAACAACAATGAAATAACTGTTTGTCCTGTTCCTTACCTTCATTCCATGTTGTCCCTTCTGAGTCACACGGCGATGAAACTGGAGTTGCCTTGAAAGCAGTGTATTCAGTTGTGAACTCCACCTTCTTTTTGTACTGCATCTCTAACACTGACATTGCCTCTGGCATCTTGGCAGACAGGAGCCTGTAGCATATATCTGGCTTCCCAATAAACCGCTGTCTAACAGTAATCTCATAAGGACTCTGCACCCTGATTTCGTCTATTTCATTTCGTTCAAAACGATGAAGGAGCTGGCAATTTGTGTCTCGTACCTCCAATGAGGACACCAGCACCAACAAACATCCTGGTTTCAAATCTGAGTCTCCACCTTTGGATACTACAGCTGGGATGCTTGATATCACCTTACTTCTACCAGACCCCCTGCTAGCTGAAGCAGCAGCTGAAGCAGCAGCGGAAGCTGCAGCTCTTGCAGCGTCCTCTGCCTTGGCTTCTTGCTGAGTCTTCCAGGGGAGTTTACCAAAAGGCCACCAGGCGGGAGACTCCAGCTCTGACAGAAGTCTGCAACAAAGTAGACAAGGAGCATGAGAATTTGTGAGTGTTTGACTGTTTGTCATTATTAATTCAGGCTGTGTTTATTGCACCTTAGTTATAATATGCAATACACTTAAAAATAAAAAATGAGCTATATATCATCCAGTTACGAAATATGTATATAATTACTTATCAGCTACGCCCAGGTCAGAGTCAATCTTCTCCAGTCCCTGCATCATATCATCAAACTGCTCTCCTTGGTGGCTGAGGACTCTGCCAGTGTCCTCCAGTCTTCTCTGGGCCCCGGCCACCAGGGTGATCAGCTCTCTGCCTTTAGAGGGCTGAGACTCGGCCCCACGGGCCTCTGAACCAGGGGACAGGAGACGTTCTCTCCAGAAATGTTCCAACACATTATAAACCACCACCCTGTTGGGCTTAAGGGAGCCAAACCAGTGTTTCATGTTCCCCTCTTCAAGCACTGTTAGAGTGCTAAAGATGAAACTGGATGACTCCATCTTGATCTCTATAATACGGGAGAGGCGGAAGCTGGCAAGACTCTCCTTACTCTGGTTAGAAATGAAGCGCACCATGGTCCTGGTGAGGGACAGGGTGCCATTTTCCCAACGCTTCTCACTGTTGATGTAATAGGAGCCAGGCCAGCTGTGGATAGGAACGTCCCGGCTCATTTTGGAAGGAGGTACACCAAATCACCTGGTAGAAGGACAAATGCACATGCTCACATTAATGCAGTTTTAATCCAATATTACATCATAAGGGCACAGTACTGACTGATCAGTCTGCCTTAATAGTGAACATACTTTCTTCAGAGTATAATAAGGGATTCAGACAGAAGATGAGCTCCTATGAGGCGTTTACACTGGCAGCTTCAGTTTTCTATTCAACTGACCGCATTACAAGTACGTCATTATAATGTCATAACCCCTTTTAGCATTTGTTACTTCCTCTTGGTGGATTATATCCGTCCCAAACCACATTAGTCGACATTATCTTGCTGGGCTGAGCATTACGTTACCCCATAGTCTTCTCACTAAGGACGGTGATGTTTATTACGGAAGTGATGTCACACACTAGCACGGCAGTGTTTACTGTCCGACTGGAAAATGCTGCTGTGAGAAAAGGTTACCAGGGCAAGGTTTTGGGAAAAAACAAATAACAAATATTGTTAGCTATGAGGGCGGTTTCTGAATTACCTAAGATATTCTATAGTGTTAGCGTTAAAGATATTACAACGTTAAAATAGGTAATTATTACAAACAATAGACAGTAGCGGTTTTATATGTGCGTCGTTCATAAACGGTAAACTGCATTCTTAAGGATGGAGTCATATGCAGCGACCTGTTGTCAAAATAGAAAGAAAATACGGTCTAGCATAATGCAAGATTTCTAACCTAACCAGGTTCGTCAGTAGTTTGACAGTAAAAGTGAAAAGACGTAGCTAGCTTTTTCTTACCGGTTCTTGCTGTCCAAACGGAGACAGCTAAGCTTGCTAACTGGCTAGCCGAGCTCTTGTTTACCATCATGGACAGAGAGGCGTACCGCAACTGCTGCAGCCTGGTCAAAATACCAAGACAGTCGTATGAGCAGTTTTGGTCTTCACATTTTGTAGATTACATCGACAAGGAGTTGAGCTACTCTAAGTTTTTCAAGAAATACTTGCTTCCCAATCACCCATGCATGTTTTCAAGAAGGTTTACAGAGAACTGGAAATGCAGAAAACAGTGGGTGACTGAGGAGGGGAAGCCTAATTTCCAGAAACTGTTGCAAGAGTTTGGTAAATAAGCCTATTACCAATGCGTTAACCAACTACCATATATCATTATGCTGCTGTTGCCATTACTGGTGTCATGTAAGTCAATGTATTTGTTCTCTATTACAGATGAGAGTCCTGTTCCTGTTGCAAACTGCAATGCAAAGGAGTACAATGCAAACCCTAAACAAGTTATGCCTTTCAAAGAATTTATACACTACTGGAAGGAATATATCCAGAATGGCCACTCATCAGCTAAAGGATGTCTCTATCTGAAAGACTGGCACATGGCAAGGTGTAAATTTAATGCGAATTTTGAACTTGATCTTGCTTTTGTGAACAGTTATGTGCAATATATGTAACTGATAACTGTTATTATTCGACAGGGACTTTCCAGAACACAATGTTTACACCACACCTGTCTTCTTTTCCTCTGACTGGCTTAATGAATACTGGGATACACTCGAAGTGGATGACTACCGGTTTGTCTACATGGGACCTAAAGGTTCATGGTATGAAAAATTCTACATAATATTGGTAAAACCCAGATTACACATTGGTTTTTTATTTTTTACTCAGTCAGACTAACTTTCTCATCACTAGGACCCCGTTCCACGCCGACGTTTTCCGCTCCTACAGTTGGTCAGCAAACATCTGCGGTAGGAAGAAATGGCTCCTATATCCCCCAGGTCAGGAGGAGTTTCTGCGAGACACTCATGGCAACTTGCCTTATGATGTGACATCATCTGAACTTCAAGACAGAGGCCTTTTTCCTCACTCCGAAGAAGCCTGCCAGCCTCTTGAGATTATTCAAGAGGCAGGTGAAATTATTTTTGTTCCCAGTGGCTGGCACCATCAAGTTTATAATCTGGTAAGAACCGTAGAGGTAATGATATCTGAACAGTAGAGCTAGAGCAAAACGATCCATCAAATGACATATTATACATTATGGTCTTTTATAGTGACATGGAAATTCTATTTTACTACAGATGTATATAAGTTTTATTGGCATCAGCAGTTTATGATCATCACTTTAATGTTTTTCTTATAGGAGGACACCATCTCTATTAATCACAACTGGTTGAATGGCTGCAACATTGACATCATGTGGCAGTTCCTTCAGAATGAGCTGTCATCTGTTCAAAAAGAGATTGACGAGTGGAGAAACACAATGGATTCCTGGCATCAGCACTGCCAGGTACTTCACAGATAAGATGGTTCTGTGTGCAAGTCCTCCAAAAACCCACCACTGCCCTGAATGATACAATATAAACATTGCGTAAGGTGACCATCGTGTGTGTTTCTTTTCAGGTCATCATGAAGGCCTGCTCTGGTATTGATTACGGTGAATTTGCCTCGTTCCTGAAAATCATTGCTGACAACCGAATGGCTTTCCTGAATGCTTGCTCCTCTGGGGATTCCTCAGATTACCCACGACATCTCTCAGAGATCCTCACCACACTTGGACCTTACCATGCTGCCTTTGACCTACAGAGAGTGGCTCACATAATTGAATGCCTACTTTGCAATGAAGACTTTAAGCGGCTCGATCATTCAACACTGACCCTGCAGCCAGAAACCATGTTACAGCAAATTCGAGACACCATACAATCCACAAGAGGGCAGCATCTCCTTTATCAAGAGTAAGATGTTCAGTGGTGTCCCAACAATGTTAACTGACATCTGGAAATAGCTTGAATGACAAGTGCCAGTTTGTACTGTGTGAAAAAGATGATGATAGAGGTGTTACTGCACCTTTGGTTTGAGATAAATTGTAATCTCAAATGTTGCTTGTGAATGTTTGGAATTGGTTTTTGCACTGAAAGATAAAAAAGATAAATAAATAAAAAATACACAAGTTGATTGAGTTTTTATTTAGCGATTTTTTGCACATTTATTCAATAACCACGAATACCATATCACAGTTGGTATATCCTGATTTATAGTGCTGCGATATCTGTTAAATAGCATAAATCTGTGGAAAATTATACTTCACAATTTGGGAAAAATCACTCTAAAATTAAGTTTTAATGCAAAAAAATTACAAATGTGAGTTAGTGACACACAGCTGCTAAGCAATGACAGTGTAACATACTGTACTTGAGGGTTTTGTCTATGAGACGTCTGTCAAATGTGATGTATGTCACATTTTTGGGAGCTATTAAACATTCTCTTCAGTTTGTTTTCACATCTTTAGGCCACCAGTCTGGCAAAGAGGCCTCAAGTGTCACTGTGGTGTCATCAGAAGATTTGAAAGTCAACACCTCTTTGGCATGAGCCATGCGGATTAGGCTCAGACCCAGCTCTCCCACCCCTGCTCGGTGCTTCCCAGCTGGCTTGCCTGACTGCGTTTGCAGCGCCGCTCCTTCCTCGAGGTCTTGGACTGGAGATGATAAGCGTACTGGCATCAGGCGTTTCCGAACCACCCCAGTGTGATGAGTTCTGGCTGTGAGCTCCTGGCCAATGTAACAGCCTTTGCTAAAGCTGATGCCCTGCATGTAGACGAGATTTGACTCTAGTGGTAGTGCCACTCCAGGAGGAAGGTCCTTCACTCCCTCAGGAAGTCCTAGGCAACAATGACAGCAGAGAAAAGAATCAAAACTTGTCACAAAATATCAATATGATGTTGATCATATGTTCATATGAATCCATACTTCTCACCCCATTTATCTTCTAATACAAGCTGTATGCTACTAACTGGTCTCACCTATTGCATAGCGATGTCTGTGATACTCCTCTGTGTCACCTTTCTGACATGATGCAATGATATCCCAGGGGTTAATTTGACTGTCTAACACCAATCTGAAGCCCATTTCCTGAGTTCGTGGATCATCCTCCCACACCAGAGCTTTTCCAGGGGAGGAAAGCTCAGGTTTACTGGCCTGTTGACCTGGGTTTTTTTGCTGGGGGAGCACCGCCCATACAGAGAGCTCTGGACAGGGGTTAATGTTGACCTTTCTGCGAAGCTTGTACACCTTCAAGTGTCTCAAGATTGAGTCCTTAATTGTGCTGTCACACTCCAGGAAAACACCATGCCCGGCATCAGCTTCTTTCAGACTATAAAGGAAATACAGAAAGTTGAATGCCTCATAAAAAAAGAAATCCACCATCACACACCTCACTAATGTTTTCCCTTATTTTAGCTGATTAGGTCACCTTGGATTAAGCTATCCTGGGAAATTGCCATGCTTTCATCAAAATACAGGACTTCACTGAATTACTGTACATAAGCCTATTGTCCCTTTTTTGTCATATCACACATGCTCACAAGGAGTTGCATAATTTGAGAGTAAAGCATTAGCTGACATAGTGAAAATCTGTTTTTCCATTTGACTGACTTAAAAGGTGGACTTTTCTTTACACTGAACCAGGTGAACGTGACTTGCACAGACAAGCTTATACTTAGAGGTGTCTGTTTGAGCCAGACCGTACACTGGCTGCCTAACCATGATATCTATCACTAGGCTACCAATGCCAACAACTGCGTAACAAAGATAAGCGAGTACCCACACCCTTGTAACTGAATACGCATGCAAGCGTTTAAACAGAATAAAGGCTTGTACTATACCTGTACAACATGATGTCATATAGTGTTCTTCCTTGTACATTTAGCATGTGTGAGTACATGGCTCTGAGTCCAGGCTCCTCCAGCAGCTCCATGTCGTTGGTTATAATCCCCTGAAGAAACGGGCTTGTGTCTTGGCCCTGGATTTTGAGCATGGTCCTGTGAGGAAGATGATAGCACACAAACTGTCCCGGGACATTTCTAGTGTCCTGACTGTACTTCTTGACACGGGTCCCTACCGGAGCTGAAACACCGGAGAAAAACGTTACGCACAAAAATCGACCGGTGTATTTACCGGCGTAAACACCGAGACAGCTGCCGGACGTGAACGCTCTCCTGGCGAAGCACAAAACCCCCATGTTGTGAACTGTCACAAGAGTGTGTTAAATGTTAAAATGAAGTGGTTACTCGACCTAATAACACCAGTGGAGAGCTACATAACACAGGACATCACGGATGACTCCATCAGCTACGGCTCCATTTTGAAATCCCACAATGCATTTCTCGATAATATTGGAGCACGTGTGTGGTGGTTGTGCTGCCGCCTGTGGGTACATCAGAAACACTACAGTCTGTTGTTCAGTGATAAAAGCTGGATAAATAAAAAATGTATTTAATGTATATTCTGACCAGTGGTGGAAGTATTCAGATTCTTTACTAAAGAAAAAATATTGTAAAAGTACTCAATTACAAGTAAAAGTCCTGCACATAGGTATTATACGTAAAAGTCAATGCAAAAAGAGTGGCTCAGACTGTTATTATACTAGTATACATTCGGTTGCCAGACAGAGGCAGTTGGAGACTCATCCAAGACTTCTCTCCTCCAGAGTCTACAGTTACAGTCATTGATTAAGGGTAATTTGTTTCTCAGTTTGTAATAGGCCATAAGCAGATTCAGTCACCTATGAATTTTAATATGTCATTAGTAAGGGGTTCTACAATGATCCACCAGATGTGTTGCATCCCATTTCTAGAGGGTAAGTGGTCACACTGTCCATGTGAGGGGTGTCATGCTAAAGGAGGGTTTTTCACAATCTGTCAAATTGAAACTTGTTCTTATTAATGGTTTATAACTGATCGACAAAGCATTAGTAAATTATTCATTAACCATTAATACATTACAGTTTGTACATTTTTGTAAATGCTGCCTCATCATCTCTAATTTCTCTTATAACGAGAGGTAACGGACCTTGTCAAATCTTAAAGACACCATAACACAATTTTAAGTTAGTGCCCAAGTTGAAATGTTTGGCTTTAGATATGACTAAATTCTGCTTTTATTAAACACCTGGTATTGTGTCAAGTATGCATAGGAAAAAATTAACCCAGAAAATGTAGGAAAGAATCAGTCAGACCTCTCAGATGTACCATCATTTCTCATGTCTCTCAGCCTGCGTGCATGGAAGTCCTATTCCTAAATTAATGTAAACTTTTAGTGGTCTTGGACTGAGGATTGGATTCAGTACTGATCAGTGAATAAGTCCTTTCACTGAGTTATATAATGACAAAATGCGGAGCAGGCATTTTATGATGCACTAAAATGTGCTACAAACCATGCATTGCTCAGTAAAACCTATAACAGTTGGGAACATATGAAAAATGAACACGCACACGCAAACAACCACACACACACACACACACACACACACACATTGAACAACATGTGTAACTAATTAAAAGGTAAAATATTTAAAATGCCCTTTTTCTAACAAAACCGATGGAAAATAGAAAATAAAAGGCTACATTAAAGTACAATATGGAAAAGAATCAACTCTGCTTTTATTTTTTAGGAACAAAGTCAATGCATTGCACCCATTGTTCTGTCTGTTAACGATTTGTTGATTAGCACCAGGTGTGAAGTGCCACATATTGTATACAAAGAAACCTAAGCCCTGATAGCACATGGAGCATTTTTTATTTTATTTTTTTTATAGCTGTAGCTGATTCTGGAAAAGTACTATTTTCCCCTTTTTATGGCATTTTCCCATATTTAAGATAATAAAATGCTGTGTGATTTATTTAGTTGTAAAAAGTATATGCCTCTCTTGCACCCATGTTACTGTAAGTGCTGTTCTTCTCATTACAGCTTCACTGCCCCATCAGTTCAAAATAACTGAAGTAACTGATTAATCTCTACATGTCTCATCGCAGGCATGAAATAAACTGAAATCAGTTTGCACAAATGACTTGTTTACAATTTCTCAGATGATTCATGCTACAATACCTTTTGTTTGGGCTTCAATTGGATCCTTTTCTTCTACCAACACATGGAAGTTTCTGGCCATAACAACAGACATGTCTTCTCATAATAATAGAGGTTGCTTGCAAGCTTCTAACTTTGAATTACACTTCATTGAAAGCTTTCAATTTTTCAGTTTCCAAAACACACCATTGTTATTCACATGACAAGACGGAGAAGCAGACGGCTACGACAAAGCAGGAAATCAGAGGTTTGAAATAAGTTTATTTCTTCATGAATAAATACTAGAACAGTCTTTAAAAGTCTGAGGCACTTCGAAGTATGACAACAGTGAAGGCAGGATTACATATTAATCTGAAACCAGTTTTAGAAACATACTGCTTCAGTGACAGAGAAACTAAAATGCTCGACAACATGCCTAAACATAACATAAATGTAAGCTAATTGAATAGCAAAGGATGGGAATTCTACTGTAGCGTAAGTCTATACTGTATGTTCCCAGTTGAAAAGCATGCATCATCTGCTTCAGATTGCAGAAAATCAGTATTTACTTTAGACAATAATCAGATTTTCTATTCACTTACCTCTTCCCCTTCATGTGATGTGACACTGCAAGGCTTTGGAAAACATAGATAAAGGCTTTGCACGCAATGACTGAAGACCTTCCCACCAAGCAGATGTTTACCAGAAAAGCCTACAAGTGACACAGCCCTGTTTCATCACCTTCATCAAAATACTTCACCTTTAATCCAGCGACACCCATCCATACTACATCCAAAAATACTTCCCCAAATAATAAACATGCATCTTTCCAACAATCACCATTCTTCAGAAATGACTCATTGTGCATTTGTACAGTGCTTTATACTGCATTTTCAAATTTGGCCGTAGGGTACAATCCCACACTTTCAAATTTAAATTTCTTCAAATTAATCCAGTTCAGCAGCAGTCAAGGGTAGATCAGATAAACAGCTCAAAGCACTCTGTTTACATATTTGACGTTTCAGCTGGAATTAGAGATGTTTAACTAAGTAAGCAAATGTTAACCGTGTCTGAAAGCTATGGCAAGCACAAAATTACACACTACAGTAACAAAGGAGATTCATGATACTGGATTTGATAATTTCTTCATGGGTGGTTTGTTTTTTATTCCCAAAAACTAAGCCTACTCTTAACTGTACTCCTTCAGTCAGTGTGATTGAAATTCTCAGTTGTTATTGTCCAGAGTCGCATCTCATACTCGCACACGCATCCTCCAGCTGTTTCACAGTGCAGTCCTGGAGTCTTAAATGTTTTTACTGTTAATGTACGAAATTAGATTTATCTCTAGATCCAGACTGAGGTCTTTCCATTTTTTACAATGGTTGCAGCCTTCTCTGTGGCTGATTTTGGCCTGGCTCCTTGTTTCTCTTGGACTGTATTGACTCGGTTTTGCTCGGCCATAGTGCCCCCAGATACAGGACTACTGGTTCTGGAGGTCTGCTGGTTGTTCTTGGTCTGATATGTTTGAAAGGCCATATCGAGCTGCTCCTGGGCAACCCGTAGGTGACGGTGCAGGCTCGCCAGATCAGAGGGGATGTTCTCATCCGGGCTGGTGCACTGCTGCTCCTGGGCCACATTAGCCATGTTCTGCTCGTGGGTGATGAGGCTGTTGGGGATCCTGCTCGGTTTGTCTGTCTTCATCACTAGGTTGTACCCCGGAGGGGAGGCCGGGATGTTGCGAGAGAACGGGTAGCCGTAGGATGTCCGCCGGCCCCGGCTCCTCTTCATGCGAAGCGTATCCCGAAAAGTGCCAATTCCCAAGTGGAGCATCTCGCACACATTTAGCACCAGACAAAGACAGCTTACCACATACATTATGAGGAGGAAGATTGTTTTCTCTGTGGGCCTAGAGATGAAACAGTCCACGCTGTGTGGACAGGGAAGCCTGCTGCATACATATGAAGGATTAACTCGAAAGCCATAGAGCAGATACTGTCCTGCAAGGAAAGCAATTTCAAAAATTGCTCGTGACATGAGCTGAAGAACATAGATTCTCATCAGTCCTTCTTGCATAATTCTTTTGCGGCCGTCATGTTTTGGCGGGTCTTTGCTGATGCTGCTTCCTTGCTCAGGCTTGACCTCCTGCGCCTCCAGTGTATCCTCATAGATCATGGGCTCTGCATCGTCATCTTCATCTTCCTCCAAGACCTCCTCCAGATGGTGGCTCTCTCTCCACCTGGAATGAGGAGGTGGCTTCTTGCGGAACCTCTGTTGTTTCCTGCGCTCCACCTCCGAAGCTCGGGCTATCTTGTGAATAGCATAACCCATGTACATGATGGAGGGAGTGGAGATCATGATGATCTGGAAGACCCAGAAACGGACGTGCGAGAGGGGAGCAAAGGCATCGTAGCATACGTTGTCACAACCGGGCTGCTTGGTGTTGCAGGTGAACTTGGTCTGCTCGTCCGAGTAGATGGACTCACCTCCAACTGCTGTGAGCACAATGCGGAAGATGATGAGCACAGTCAGCCACACTTTCCCCACGAAGGTGGAGTGGTTGTGGATCTCTTCCAGGAGACGAGTGAGAAAGCTCCAGCTCATGTTGCTCTTACAAGCTTTTCAACTAGAATCTGTAAAGAAAGAAAAAAAAAAGAATAAATCAATTGCAGTGATAACACGTCAGTAACCGTATTCCTACGGTTGTTTTCCTTTTATCAAAAGCTGGTTTTGTTTAGTTGTCTAAAGAAAGGAAGTTCAGTGTTGGGCTGCAGCAAATGATAATTTGCATTACTGACAAATGTTCAGATTTTTTTCTCTATTAATCAATTTATCATTTAGATCAAAGCTAATGAAAAATGTGTATCACAGTTTCGCAGAATTTTCACATGTATTTTATTTTATCCAACAAACAAATCCAAAAATATTCAATTTACAATCAAATAAGACAAACAAAACCACATTGGAGAAGCTGTAGCGAGAGAGATTTTGGCATTTTTGTTTGAAAAATAAAAGATTAATCAATTATCAAAATACTGTAGTTGTTCATAAATCTGATTAATTTGATAACCCTTTCTCTAAGTCTAATCCAGTGAAGATGCATAATTGAGAAATGTGGCATACTGTTTTAAGTATAATGATATATAAATGATTTACGTATAAATAACCTTCTGAATGCTGTTTTTTGTCTTATTTTCAATGAGCAATAAATCTTTTCCAGATGTCCCAAACATAAACTGTTCTCATCTGCTCAGTAATAGTTCTTGATGTAGAGTAGACATACATTTCAATTGATTACACATCGAGACACAAAACAAAGGCTTGTGTTGATTCATGTCAGCAAGTACAGTGATGTCATTCAGTCACCCGAACCCGACACATGACACGCAGCATTTACAATATCCATCATTCAAGCAGATTGAAGTAGTTAGTTAAAATGGCAAAAATAGCAAAGTGAGGATAAAAAAAAAACCTGCCAACAACAGTCGTTTTGATTAGACCCAAGAACATGCTGATGAGCTACAAGATAGTGACAGATCAAAAACACAAAATGAAACTGACACAACTCTGAATGTATAAAAACCCCATTCATATACCAGAGTGTGCTCCACTCAAAATGCCACTTCAGAAACATACTTTATGTAGCACTTTAACACTTGATGCCAAGGGACACACACACACACACACACACACACACACACACACACACACACACACACGCAGAAAAAAACAGATGACAAGAAACCTCACAGTCTCATACTCTCCTCACAGCCAGAGTCACTGCTGACTCTGTGAGGTGAATGAAGCTCGGATGAGGCGACAGCGCAGCGCTTCTGTCCCTTCATTCATGGGGCAGAGCTGCAGAGTTCACGTTGATCTCATGACTGCGGCACTGTGCTCCCTGGCATGGGATGTGCCATCTCCCCTGCCATCTGAGTGAACAGGAGAGGCTTGTTGCTTCTGCCACGAGGCCCCCCCCCCCCCCCCCCCCGATCCAGCACTGGCGCTGACACGGAGGGGTACAGCCACATGGAGACAGATGGCACCTATGGTAGGCAACGCATGTTTGCCCCAGGATGGCGTGACAGGAGGGCCACTTCCACTTTACTTTAGGAATCACACTGAATGAATTTGTAGTATCATACTGTCAACCATATTCTAACAACGACTATTAACATTTAAGTGTCCTTGAGATATCTGACTGCTCTTTCTGATTAGAAGTGATGCAGCGATTTTAACTGGCTCTGCTACAAAAAGAGAGTTTTAATCCAGGGGAGATTTGGCTAGTTTAATAAAGAGTAGATTTCACTGAAGATGTATAGTAATTCTTTCGGATTAAGAGCAGAAATGTATATGCAACATATACATTGCACAGTTTGAGCAAAGTTTGAAATCATTGTTTGGATTCCTGATTTTTTGCTAAAACGTGTCTGTTGAGAGTAAGAGAAATAATATAATTTTCACGAATAATCTTTTTAAAATAGAGAAAACAAGGGTAAAAGTGACCATGCTTTTAGGAATTTAAATGTTTCAGAAATACAGTCTGTCTCACAATGTTACAGAGGCAGGTACGGAAACGATTAAATTATATTAAATACATTCTTTTAAGATTTTTAAATTCCAAAAAATAGAGCCACATTTTAATAAAAGTATATTACAGTTAGATTGTCAGATTGTAAACTAGAGAAACAATATTGAGCTCACTTCAATATCAGTAGCGTTTGTATGTGACACATTGTGGTATCAGGTATTTAAACATGAACACAAGTGCAGACCTAATCGAGTTTACATTATACACTTGCATCATACTGTTGGATGAAAATCCAAGAACAACCTCTTATTACATTGTTTCAATTGCTTTGCCTTTTGATAGGAGAATATTAAGATTTGAAGAAGAAGATTTGAAATGATCTTTCAACATGATTAATTCAGACACTGGACCACACAAACAGTTTGACTGATACAACCGTGCATCTAAAGTGGTATGACAGGATAGCCGAGCAGAAACTATCATACTGTTTCTTTACAGGAAAGTCAATAATTGCAACAACAAACCTGGTAAAGCCGTACATGCATTTCCCATCTTGAAGGTCTCCTCTGCCCTCTCTAGATTTCCCCTCAACAGTCTGATCCATGGAATTCCACTTCCATCCCAATGTCCCGGCCATTTTTCAACTTATTGATAACTTCCGAAATTGCAAAAAGAAAAAAAAAAAAAGAACCAACAACAACCAAGAAACACTGACAAACAAGACTTTCTACGTATCCTGTTTTCTATTTATCCTGTTTCCTCACTGTGTGAAGAAGTGAGGTCTCGCCGCTGCGAATGCCTCACATTCTGGCTTGTGTCTGGTTTCTATTACACCAGCCTTCTGCCCAAGAAGGAAGTATAAAAAACAGGGAGGCAGAAAAAAAAAATCCTCCTCTGGCAAGTGACCCTCATCCAAGGGTTCAGACTTGAGGATACCGTACTGCACACTGAAATGAACACCCAGCTGAGGAAGCGTGTTAATCGCAACACAGTCAACCCAACCTCCAATACTCATATGCAACATTTGTAACACAGCTGATGAGGGTCTCTCTCTCTCTTGCTCTCTCTCTCTCTCTCTTTCTCTCTCTCTCTCTCCCTCTCTCTATGTCTACATCTATCTATGTATCTCAGCCTCTTGCAGGTTAATGTCTTCATGCCCCCCAACCTTTTAAACAGCAACAACAGTGGCTCACTCTGAGGACAATGGTGATGTATAGAGTAGTTGAGTTGTTGCACGCCTCACACACACACACACACGCACACACGCACACACGCACACACGCACACATGCACACACGCACACACACACGCACACACGCACGCACACATGCACACACACACACACACACACACACACACACACACACATACACACACACAAACATGAATGCAGATTTTCACCTCTATATTATCAATTACATAACATGTGTGCAGTGGATGACAGTTATGAAAAATAAGAACTTTTGGGGGGGACAAAGACGGGGAGTTCGAGGACAGAAGTGTCACACAGACATAAGCCACCTTGCCTCAGTGCAGATCCGCTAGAATGTAACCAGCAGGTATGCTCAGTCATATCAAGTGTCATAATATTTACATCTTCAATCCAGGCAGATGGCCAGATAACAGAGCAGTGGACAGGTCGCACTCTGCTCCACCGCTCCGTGTCTTTTCCGACTTGATGTTTATGCTTGAAGCTTTCACCTCGGCCTGTGGAGCGCAGTAGCACACGTTTGTTACTTAAGGAATGTGATGGATATTTTTACATCATGGCAAGAGCGGGCATACGTATGTGGATAGAAGTCTGTCTCTCTTTCTCTCTCTCTCTCTCTCTCTCTCTCGCTCTCTCTCTCTCTCTCTCTCTCTCTCTCTCTTTCTCCCAGACATACACACATACATTTCGTTACATTTTTTTTTTTTTTTATGCTCTGATATGACACGACAAAGCACAGATGAGAAGGTAATTCATGCAAGATTAAAATCGGAAAGGAATATCTCCATCTCTTTATTCCATGTGCCAGGCCCCCTGTCAAGTTTAGGAAGGGATCTAAACTCAACTACTTTTAATAGAGGACAGATAAACGGGCTTGTGTCTGGCTTGCATTAATGAAATGTGTCTGCTCATTGTCACAGTGACCATATTATTATAATGCTACTTTCACAAGGCCCCTCAATAACCCTTAATTATGATCTGTATACTGCTATAAAGTAAAGAATAACGTTCATCAGCATCAGTGAGTCCGCCATCAAATAGATCACAGTTTCAACTCGGTTACTTAAGTAATTATGAAAAGTTCTTGACCCTCTATGCCTTAATACATTGTAAGTAATATTTTTGGGTCGTCAGAGAGCAAAGACAACTGCAGCAAAACGCGTCAAAAAGGGGAGATGGTGCAAAGCACATGAGAAGTCTTTGCATTTAGATCTTATCCTGTTTGAGTAGTTTGTGGTCTAAAGAAAGCTCTGAGAGCCAGCCATCTGGGCCTGCAGGACCCATCCTCCAGAGGCCTCGCCTTCAAGGCTCCCCTCTCCATCTGACTGAGGAGATGTGGCGTAGCGAGCACCCCTGGTGAGGCACTGAGGAAAAGAAGACAGGGGATGCTGCTGGAATGACTAGAGCATTTGGGGTTTGGACATGTGCTATCCCCGAGGGACAGATGAGCACGTGTTTTTAAGTTGCGATGCATTCCTCTTCCTCCAAAATCTTCCCGTCATCCAAGAGATACAGATGGTCCAGTGAAGACGGCTGATAAGAGAGCAGGAGTGTGATTTTAAATTCAAAGTCAATTAGAGTTTATGTTCCTCGACAGTTGGTACGTCTCCCTGTCTGTGGTTGTGGTTTACAATTAACACTCATTGAGGTTCCACAGTTTTCCTGTCTAATTGAACAAAACATCATTCACACTAATAAACACATCTCTTCCAAGAAAAATTATCATCATCTAAATAGAAAAAGGGTTCCGCCAAAAAAGGAACCTTTATTTTCATCTCTCATTTTCTATCCTTCCTTGTATTTCATTCTCATTATTAAACAAAATAGGCATATGAAACATTCGAATTTCATAATTACCTGTAATAAATTACCCTACATCGAACTGTTAGCAGCATTTATGTGACAACACTGTATGAATTATGAAATAATAGATTTTTTTCCAACAATTATTTTGTCTTTATCTGAATCGCTGTTATCTAAAGCAAAAACAAAAGCGAACAAACTCATGGAGCCAAACCAATGATTGTCTGGTGCTTAATGTGTTGTCCCCGCGTCCTCGGACAATCCAGGCTATTCTAGCTTTGGGAAACTGCAGTTCATGTTGATAAATATTGATTGAACTGCCCAGAGCCAGGAAAAATATTACAGTATTCAGCTGTAAGACATTGCTTGACATTGCTCTTGTCACAAGGACTGGCATCCTGTGACAGCCAAATGACAGTGTTTAATATTCATTAGGTCAAAGTTATATTTAGTGTTGAATGTAAAATGTAAATCTGATCATTTTGTCCCAATTGTCATCTGTAAGATTAAAAAAATAAAAAGTACAAAAAAACGTAAGCTCACAGCTGACAAATGAACACACCGGCATGCTTCAGGTGCTTAAAGACAAAATTACTTTTAACATGAAAAATACAATTTTTTGTGATGCAAACGAACACTCACTATATGAATTACTTCTTAAGTGTATAACCCATGTCCTCATGTGTGCTGTCATTGCCTAAATCTGATGTTTTAGTCCCAGACAGTTTCACCTTTAAGAGGTCACTGGGAGCTGTGAGGGTTTGCAGCGTAGCCGATTGTTGCAGTGATGCAACATGGCGGAGTGAGCATCTCGACAACTCTCCTTGGCCGCCGCCAATGTCATCACAAGAGTTTTATCCACATGTATTTACTGAACAAAGTTGATGCGAGCAGACTGGGGGCTGTGGAGGTCTGTGTTTATGTAACAGATCAAGCTCCACCATGTGACTTCAATGTGCCCCCCTCCCTCCTTACACCCCCCCCCACCCCCCACCCTTAGAGAAAAGAGTGACACAAGACACCAGAGCAAAAACATGCAACTTGGTGCGAGGACTCCTCCTCTCTCCCATCTCTCCCACCGCTATCATTAAGCTGCTCTCACCAGCCTGTGGGGGGCTATCCTATAGGCAGCCTGAGAGTGGTGGCAGTCCCATCTCATTTGTTCAGTTTTTCTCCCAGTTTCTCAGCTGAGCCTATCCTACCCCCGGGCTGAGTGCGTCCCGTGCCAGTTTTGCTAAGGCTGGACTCTACTGAAGCGACTGAGATGAAAAGCCTTGAGGTGGATGCCAACAACTTTCCTCAGCCACGGCTCTGCGTCTCCCTCATATGAGCAAAGCAGCTCGTGTTGAGTGTGAATTACACTGTTTTAACATTGCACTCAAAAAAACAAAAACAAAGGAACTTTACTCTTGACACCACGACTCTACAAATAAACACAAGTTACATGATTGATTAGTTTTGAATGTGTAAAGGTAATTAAAAAATCAAAAATAACAAGTGGCAGTTATTCCTTCATATTTCAAAAAAATAATGACAAAGCCCTAATCCTCATAAACTCACTTAAAGATGGGAGTCGTATGTCAAATTATTTAAAGCACTAGAGCGAATGAGGATATGCAGCAATATTTCAACATCCTTAAAAATAGATTATGTTCCATTGGAAATTGGCCTGTTTCCTGTCGCAGAGGGAAGTTTCATTTTACTGCTCTGAGATTGTACTGTCATTCTGAAAGTAAAGATTTGCCACAAGGTGTGGTATGACCTGACTGTGAGGACAGACATCATGATCTTAACAGTCATGTTTCATTTATATTTATGAGTAAGTGTCGAAATGTGATTAAAACTTATATCTAATATGGAAGTCATAAAGCATTGCACCGATTTCGCTTCACCCATTAGATGACTGTCATAATTAACCCTCTGATTATGAGCTGTTCCCACCAGGGCAGTAAAAAACCAACACACAGCTACCCTCCAAATAAACAAAACAACAGTGCTTTGCTTGCAGTGCCGCAGGGCCTTAATCTCTGACATTATCTTGTCTTAACTGGCTATGTCAGAGGCTGATCTGAGGCAGGCCCAAAGGAGCAGCAGACCTAGTCAGGGTCATTTGGACTAGCAGAGATATGTTTACTGCAGCTCCTCCTTCCTTCCAGACGCCTTAGTGCCGTTGCCCTTCTCTAACTCAGTGGAAGTCCAGACACTTGTAGCAATGCTGCAGGACCCCCACTGATAACAGCAATATACCCTCTCTCTTTGGAATACACTTACGCAAGAAGTGCTCAGATCAAAACTGTCCATGTGCACGTACTGCAGATTGTGACATTTTAAAGCTCAGCTATTAAACCAGTGATAAGAAAAAAAGGCAGTCTTCTGAGCAAAAGGCACTGGAAGGTGGGAACAAATTGGGCAAAAGATTAACCTTCAAGGTCATTAAGTGATTATACATTAAGTGGGAACATAAAAGAAGAAGAACACCTGCCATTAAATATTATACATACAGAGTATAGTTAAATATATGTTTGCTTTCAAAGCC